TCATTTTCTTGGAATACTAACGACTGTTTATCAAGACGACATTTTATGGTTTTTCGTACTATTAAAATGCTCAAGATTTCACCCGAGGCACTGGTCCAGATTGCAGACGTTTTCTTAGCACGATTGAAGTACTACCCGCCAACTCAGGAAGACACACAGACTTTCTCAATGGACTGTCTATATATCTATAGATATATTCAATTGGCAGTCTAGCTCGGGTCCCTGGATGATTCCCGCCATTTTTCATGAATGCCACATCGCCTGAATGCCACATCGCCGTTCCTCTATATACAGTGATTGAGATCTACCTACTAGTAGACTCAATTTTCAGTCTGTGTTCCCGTAAATATACTAGTACATTCCAGTTTTTGCATGCTTCCCCCCGGCGGTGATATTTTTTTTAAAGATATGCTGCATGATGCAAGCAAGCGACTCACTTGCGGCCATTGGTATTCGCTGTAGCGTGGCGACGAGGGGCTGAAACCGAGTCTGTGATTCATCCAACTGACTTCAAACTATGTTAACGGAAATATTTGACAAACCAATTTGATTCGATCTAAATCAATCAAGGTCGACGCTGTGTACTATTTAACTACGATGTCAGTGATGCAATCAAAGTCTATGTATGTGTTACCATGGAAATATATCTACAGTATGAAGAACGTCTCCATACCAACCAAAGCTGAAATGTAGTTTCAATAATTGTGTTTATTTTGGCATTCTCTCCCCTTCATCCTCCGGCTACCGCTAAGCTCAAAACATCTAAATTTGGTAAAAAATGGCATAATATCCAGACTTTTGTTTCGAAGTCAGATCCATTTTTAGGATTTTTCTTTCTCCTGAAAATTTTAATCCCTATCAGGGGAATGGTCGAGAAAAGTAACCATTATCTGTTTCCGACGTGGAAATCCCCGGGAAGGTAACATTAAGAAATGATGCAATAATCGTTGTTAGCGTATAATACAGTAATATAATAGCGTATTAACAATCTTCACCCAGTGTATTATAAATTATTGGGAATCCTTACCATTTTTTTTATTGTACATCTAAAAATATCACGGGAAATGTTTCAGCAAAATGCTTCCATATGTTACGTAGAGAAAGGTAGTTTTTTAACGGAACGTACGCGCCAGTCGATGGTATTCTTATGATCATTACGACATATTTAAATTAGCTATAGATAACATTTGGCCAAGTGAATATTTAAACATATCTTCCTGTGTTTTTTTCTACTCGTTGGAGCCAGAATATTTTTGATATCTCGCCTTTCTATTCCGTATTTTTTTAACTGAACTGATAAATTGTTGATGTAGGCACGACTTCATTGTTGCACGGCGCTCTTCGGATATACGAAAGACAACTGTGCAAAACGGAACCAGTAGTAGTTTGCAATGATATTTAAAATCCGTGATAATAAATGGCGGTGTTCGTCGCGTCACGCATGCGCGAGATATGGGTCTCATATGAACAAAGATGGCGACTTTGACTGTTGTGTAGAGTACAAACCTATACGTTTTTAAGCTTTAACTATATAATTACTTAAATTGGTGATTGGAAGGTATTGAAGGAGTCACCTGCGGTAATTAGTGCATGTTGCACCCAGGTCAAAACTCGTACTCATGATTTCCGTTAGAAGAGAGCATTGGATTGTGGGAAAATCAATGTTTATCAACACAAATGTTGCACATGCGCGGCGAAACCGATCTCCGCATAATATATTGACATTTCTGGTGCATATCTATATTTTAGAAACAGTGCCCACAACAGCTTAAGTGGGTCGGGTTTTCATGGCAGTTTCTCCATTCTTCCATTATTGTGGATTTGTACCCGCAAACAAAACCGAATGTGAAATGTCAAAATTGCCAATTCCACATATTTTTGTTTTTGTATCGATTTCTGTCGCGACAACATTTTTTTATATTTCAATTTTAAATTGTGCTTATTGACGCGGACCGAAATTTTTATATATTGTTGTTGATGATATGAATCGTAATATTGACACAAATTTTACCAAAAATAATTTAATTTAGTGAGTTTCCAGGGTGATAATATTCTACCATGATAATATTCGCCCACATCGCATTGCACATACTATTATGCTCTATAGTGAAGAATTTAAAAAAGCCGGTCGACCACGAAGTATAAAAGGCAACAAAACCATCGTGGCGTCTTTCTTGTTCCGTATATTATGGGAGTCGCCCGGCTGGAAGCATCTTTATGTCGACGGACTTTGTTCTTAGATTCAGATAAGATTATCTCGAGTCCATTGTTATTGTTATTGAACACGAAGGTCCGACAACGCAGTAAAAGGGGGGGGGGTAACAACAAACACCGCCCATGATGCTTTTAAAAATCATATTGTAAAATAAATTGTATTGTGCAAACTGGATACATCTCATCTTTGACATCATTTTAGTAAAACAAAAAAAAAATGGTTTTGCACATCTTACGTCAGCCACACTTGTCTGAATATATCAGGCTAATCAGACTCTTCACACGTATTACAGAATAAGACGCGAAATATCCATTACCGAATTAATATATACGATGTGTAGAATTATGGCTATTTTCTGATTTTTCAAAATGCTTGCTGCTATCCTGTAAAATATGATTTAAAGTTTGAAACCGGAAACATTACTTTTTATTCTAATTGAAACACAAAATCATTAGTACATGTACTTCTTTCACGAAAGCACAGAAGCGACAATTTCAGATCGTTATGAGTTTCGTGACGACGTTAATTTAAAAATATTGTGTTGTGTTGTATTGTATTATAAATTCTCTTCGAGGAGACGTTGCCACACAGTACAACACAATAATTATTAAAACACACACACACAAAAAAAACGCAATCGGCGCTCAATCGATGTATGAAAAAAACACCTGTTTCATAAAGATAAAGATATAGTGATGATAATAATAATCGCTCTATTTATACGTCGGGTTTATGCGGCGGATTATTTCATGGGCGGTGCAGTGGTGGATTATCTGTCTGGTCGAGGAGAACGCCTGGACTACATTAGGACTGGACTCATAGTATGCAGCTTTAAAATAAAGGAAGGTTTTATAGTTGGTAAGTTTTTGAGTCAGGGTCATATATTTCACTGAATATGACCATACAACCATTAAAAAGTGTCATCGAACTGTTATCACCCACATGGCGCATGTCAGTCATCGTCATTGTGTCTATAGTGTCAAAATCGTGTATATTTATTTTGATTCGTGATTTGTACGTGATTTGCAAATTAATTTGAGAAAATAAAGAATAACAAGCATGGTGAGTAGGTTAGGTGAAGTTTTTACGATCCAGTAGCTGGTATCACCACTGCGTATCGATATCTATATGACCTAGTGCGGCAATACGTGACCCACCAGCCGGTAAGGCAGTAATAAGAGGACACATACATATGTACAATGGTCATCGTCTGAAACAAGCCACAGACTTACCAGACTATTTTGACGAGAGAAATTCATCGCAGATGTTAACACAGTCCTGTTCTGATTATATCGGTTAATCCTACGTCTGACCCATCGTCGAAACGCCTCCCTGTAACCCACCTATAACGTAATCAGCAGGAACCCAGCGATATGGATGGTGTTTATGGTAGGGGGCGTTGTCGAGACGTCTCACGTATATTACTACTCAGTTGAAAACAAAGTCCCACACATTAAGAGGATGAATGCTGTTCTTGATACAATGATATACCGTGATTACTATTATGTTGTTGTTTGTGTTGCAACTGTGAAAATTTAAAAGATATATATCAAGCGAGTATGCATTATATTTAAGTGGGCGGAGTAATATATTCAAAGTTTAACATGTAATGCGGTCCAATATACCGTACTCGCGAATGAACTTAGTTGGACGAGACCCAAAGTAATTTGCTATACGTTAAAATACAAATTTCAAATTGTTCAACCCCGGTCTTCACTGCCTGGTTCAAAACGGAA